AAATCTGCATATTCGTATTAAACTACTATAAAATAGTACGACATTTAATAGTTATTAATCCTGATTAATACTTTTAGTAAGTACTACAGATTTAATATAGAGATTGCATGCTTTTAACATAATTATTAACTAAATGTTATTAATTCTTCTCCCATTTTCGAAAATTCCAGAATTTATTCTAAATGTAATATCGCCGTCTTCCTCCGCGACCCTTTCACTTTTAAAAATCCGCATATAAAATAGTACGACATTTGATTGCTATTAACTCTGATTAACTCTTTTAGTGAATACTACAAATTTAATATAGAGTTTGTATACTTTTAACGTAACTATTAACTAAATTTTATTAAAATTTATTAGATGCCACTCCGACAGTTCCCTTGTTAGACTTAAAGTATGTAATTAGAAAAGGTCATCGTTGCTGCGTTATTTACAGTGATTCAGTTAATGCACTTCAGGCTTTGATCTCATGTGAACCTAGTTCTCACTCTATAGTGATTAAAATTCGTAAATTGTTTTGCCATCTTACTGTGAATGATTTCTTTGTAAAATTTTGTTGGGTCCCAGGCCATGTAGGTATAAAAGGAAATGAAGATGCTGACGCAGCCGTTTACGTAAGGAATCTCAAAAAGAAAGGGAGATAGTATTGCGTGATATTAAGTTAAATGAGTACCGATCAGTGTATCGGATTTATAAGTATAAAATATTTTTGGCTAAAACGGTTAGTTGGCGTAATTTTGTTGAGGCCACATCTAATAGAGATACGTGGGGTGTCCCATATAGGATTGTAAGGGATAAATTATCTGTACCTACTATGTTATGTTCTATTAAGGACTTAGGTTATTCAATTGACTGGAGGGAGTCTGTGGCAAGTTTATTTAGGGTCTTGTTTCCTGCTGATTCTATACAGGAAGATACTATTGAGCAGAGTAATATTAGGGTAGAGAATAATAATTATATAACTAGTTTGCGATCTGCACCGTTTACAGTTGAAGAATTAGATAAGATAATTAAAAATGTTAAAGGTCGGAAAGCTCCCGGGTATGACGGGGTTACTTATCTTTTGCGGTTATATAATAATTGTTTAGTTAGACGGTTATTCCCACATAGGTGGAAGTTAGCAAAAGTTGTTATATTATTGAAAGGAAAGGATCTGGATAAAAGTTGTGCTAAGTCTTACAGGCCAATTTGTTTATTATCTGTACTTGGGAAACTTTTTGAGCAATTGATTAAATTTAGATTACGGGATATTTTTAGAGGTTATTTAGATCAATGTCAGTTTGGTTTTAGATGTGGAAGATCTACTACACAGGCGATAAGGTTGTTGCGGGAGTGGACGCATGAGTCTGATGCTACATATGTTTTAGGTCTTTTTATAGATATTGCTGGCGCGTTTGGTAATATCTGGTGGCCCGCTGTGTTGCGTGTTCTTCGATGTCGTAATTGTCCGATGAATATTTATAGGGTTATTAATAGTTACTTTGATCATAGAATAGTTAGGTACTCTCACGGTGAGGAGTACTATGAGCAATTAGTGAGTAAGGGGTGTCCGCAAGGGTCTGTGTTGGGGCCTGAACTTTGGAATTTGGTATTTAATGATGTTTTGGTTGGTCTTTGATCGCTGGGATTCCATTTTATAGCTTATGCTGATGACTTAGTCATCTTAATAGAGGGTAATAGTCGATCTCAAATTGAGAATATAGCTGGGCAGGTACTTCGGTTACTGGTTGGTTGGTTAGACAATATTAAGTTACAACTTGCTCCGTTAAAGATGGAGATGATGTTAATGAGAGGTGTCCTCAGCCTGGATCATCCCCCTAGCATGCGGATGGGTGCAGCTATTATTAGAACTATGAAAACAGTCCGTTACCTAGGCGTTAAGTTAGGTACGAGGCTGAGTATTGCTAATCATATAGAGTATGTGGCAGATAAAGCTGTAGCTCAATTTGGGAAACTGCAGAGTCTAGTGGGATCAGGGTGGGGGTTGAGGCTTCCCGCCCTGCGAACACTGTATAGGCTACTGTATGTATCCATTATTGTGTATGCCGCTGGTGTGTGGGGCGACGTGCTGGGGCCCTCTCTGTGTCAGCGATTGTTGAAGTCGCAGAGGATTGCATTACTGATTATGACCAGAGCATACCGAACTACCTCTACTTTAGCTTTACAAGTTTTAGCGGGAGAATTGCCTATTGATTTAGAAGTGCGGCTTTTTTATTATCGTTTTTTATTGCGGTCTAGGATATCTTTTACTTTAGGTGCTTTATCTTATCCAGATGAGTTCTGTAATATGACGGACTCGGCGATTAGAAGATTAATTAAGGCAGAAATTTATAAGGAATGGGATATTAGACGGATAGCTGCTAAGAAGGGTAGGCAGACTGCGGACTTTTTCCCTTCTGTGATCTGAAGGGTACGGGCTCAGTGGGTTCAACCAGATTTTTATAGTTGTCAAATTTTATCTGGTCATGGTGATTTCCGGGCTAAACTTTTTAAATTTAGGTTGGTTATTTCTAATATTTGTGAGTGTGGTGTAGTTGATAATCTTTATCATTTTATGTTCGTGTGTCCACTACTTGCAGCAATTCGTCATCAAAGTGTATATTTGAGAGAGATGTTGACTGGTGATAGTTATTTATGTCCCTTAGTTTCGGATGAGAATATATATAAGCAAGTTTTTAATGTATTGAGGTTAATGCTCATCGAGCGTATTCGATTACGGAGATTTTAATAGGAGAAAGGTTTATAAATATTACTTTTTAAGTCCTGTTATTTATTTTTAAATATTATGGTTAGTTTAGTTTTTAGTGTGATTATAGTGAGTTACTGAATTAATTGCTGCCGATAAGTCTATTGATAGGTGCGGCAGTCTTTTATTAGGACATTTGGGACGCTTGTCCCTATCTCTATACTATATATCATGTGCTTGGTTCGCTGCCTCGGGGAGAGAGGACTGAAGGCGATCCCCGAGGGTACAGGAGAAAAACTGGGGGGTACACCTGGGGCGCCTCATAGTTAGGGGCCCGGCAGAGCCCAGCCAGCATCTGCGGGCTGCCCCGTTCAAGGGGCAAATAATCCCGCGCCCTGTCAGAGTGCGGGGTGGCGCCCTGTTCAGGTCCCTTCGGCAAGGTGCGGGGGCCTCTCCCGAAGCCACGGGGCTTGCCTTTGGCCCTCTCATAGGCCCTGGGGGGGTGGCTGGGTGCATGGTGTGGTGAAGGGGATTAGGTATGCGCCTGGATCTGGGGGTTTTTTGGGGAACTCTCATTTAATTAGTATGGATAGTACAGGAAAATATAAACGTTTACAAGTACCGAGAGTTGGGGGAGAAGTGCCTGCTTATCATATACCTAGGAGAGTTAGTAGAAGTAGAAGTATGGGTGATAGTGTAGAGATAGATCAGTGTGGTGATATGGATTCTTTGGATAGCTTGAAGCAACTAGATGGAGTTCATTATGAATTGAACAAGATATGTTTAGATAAGAGGATTACTGTTGCACTTAATAGTAAATTACAGGATCTCTTTGGAGAAGTTTCTATTATTATTCAGGTCTTAGTGTTAGAAAATCAACGATTAAAGGGTAGAATAGAGCAGTTAGAAAATACTAAGATAGGTATTCAGGATAGGTTAATGGACACTTATGCGGAAAAGGTTAAAAATCTAACTAGAGAACCATTACAGAAAGCAAGGGATAATAAGTTAGTGCTAATAAAAGATAAAGAAGATTTATCTAGTGATGAGGTTAGGCGTCGTTTTCTGACATCTATGAATCCGAGTAGTGACAAAATAAGGATTGTAGGGGTTAGAAAGTTGAGATCAAATGGAATAGCAGTAAATTTGGCTGTGGATATGGATAAAGAGAAGATTTTGAATCTCGAAACTTTAGATAGTGCTGGATTGAATGTACAAGTGCCGGTTCGAAGGAAACCTCGGATGATTTTGATAGGAGTACCAAAGGAAATAATGGCTGAAGATCTTTTACAAGTTATTTATAATTTAAACTTAGATTATTTATATCAGGATAAAATTAATTATGAAGAATTTAAGTCACAATTAAGATTAGTATATCGAACTGGTAGACGCAGGGAATTTTTGACTAATTGGGTAATGGAAGTGACTCCATGGTTAAGACATGGATTATTAGATTTAGGAAGGTTATTTATAGAATATAGAAGTTGTGTTGTGAGATCATTATGAAATTTCTAAGTGCTTTAAATGTCAGTTTTTTGGCCATATGGCTAAGTTTGATAGTGACATGTGTTATAAATGTGGTACATCTGGTCACAGATCAACAGATTGTATTAGGCAGGCTGAGCGAATTTGTATACTGTGTAGGCAATTGAAAAAACCATATTCTCATTTATCGCGTGGTGGGGATCGCTTCTCATATCAAATAGATATATCTAGGTATAAACAATTAATTGATTATGGTTAATAGGTTTATAGTAGATAATGGTATAGGAATAATACAGATTAATATGCAGCGTAAGAAGTCAGTCCCGGGTGAGTTGTTAAGTTTGGTGGAAAAAGGTTGTGGAAATATTTTGTTGTTACAGGAACCATACTCGGTGAGGAATAAGGTAATCGGTTTTGGAGTTAAGACTAGAGTGGTACAGAGTTCTCAGGGAACACCGTGGTCCGCTATAGTAATTTTAGATGATTCATGGTCGTTGTTAGAATTAGGTTATTTGTCTTCAGGTACTTGTGCTGCTGCACTAGTTTCTAGTAAAGACAAAAAATTTTATATAGCAAGTATGTATTTCCTGCCGAATGGTAATATAGATGATAATTTAGCTGAACTTGAGCGATTACTGTTAGTTTTTCATGGTAGTAAATATATTATAGGTATGGATTCAAATGCAAAATCAGTATTATGGGGTGCACCAAGTAATGATGACAGAGGAATTAAGTTAATGACGGTAATTTCTAAATGGAATAGTTTGATAGTTAATGACCAGAGTGATATTCCAACCTTTTCTTCGACTAGAGGTGAATCATTTGTGGATGTTGTTTTAGTGTCCGATAATATGGATAAATTAGTTTCAAATTGTTTAGTAATGTATGAATATACGACTAGTGATCATGCCCTTATTTATTATAAATTTGGTATGTCGTCTTATGATTATGGTGAAGATTTTTTCTCTTTTCAAAAATATAGCAAGGTGAATTGGTATAAGTTTCGGAAAATTTTGGAAAGATTATTACGTCCGAGTACAGGTGCTTGGGTTACAAATAAGAGGGATGTAATATTATATTGTGACCATATACATAACAGTTTATATAAGACAATGAAGATAATGTTCTCAGGTTCTTCTCAGGGTAGATTAAAACCATCATGGTGGAATGATGAGTTAGAATTGTTAAGGGCTAAGGTTTGTAGACTTAGACGTTGGTATCAACGCAAAAAGGATTTGTTGGTTAAAGATAATATATTATAGGAGTATAAAACAGCAAATAAATATTATAAGAAATTAGTTCAGAATAGAAAGAAACAAAGTTGGAAGGATTATGTTTCGTCTGTTTCTCTTCAAAATTTATGGGGTATGCCATATAAATTAGGGCAGGGTAAGTTGAAGATGAAGGAAATTTTGGATGCTGCTAAATTAAAAGATGGATATGCATCTGATTGGGATGAATCAGTTAAATTTTTTCTGGATACTCTATTTGTTGATGATGATATGAATAATGAAAATGGATATCAAATAGATGTTAGATTACAAAATAAATATGTCAATAATATGGTTGTAGATGTGTTTACGAAACAGGAATTGATGAAGGTAATTAGAGATTCTAGAGGGAAAACGGCTCCAGGGATGGATCAGATTACATATAATATATTAGATAAATCATTGCCAGTATTGGATAGACATTTATTGTATTTATATAATTTGTGTTTAGTTTTTAGGGTTTTTCCCAACAGGTGGAAAGTTTCGCGAGTGGTAATCTTTTTAAAAGATAAAACTAGAGATCGTTCTAATCCTAGATCTTATCGTCCAATATGTCTTTTGTCTTTAATAGGAAAGATCTTTGAGAGACTATTAAAATTGCGTTTCAGAGTATTGTTTTCGTCTAGAATTAATAAATGGCAGTTTGGTTTTAGGCCTGGTTTATCTACCACTGATGCTATATATCAATTGAAGAGATGGACCATTGAGTCTCCTGCCAAATATGTATTAGGAATATTTTTTGATGTTGTAGGTGCATTTGACCACATTTGGTGGCCCAGTGTATTGCATTCTTTACGTTTGTGGAATTGTCCATATGATATTTATTGTATAATATCAGATTACTTGATTTATCGAAAAATATATTATATAGAGGGAACTAAGATGATTTCTAAATGGGCTGAGCGAGGTTGTCCACGGGTCCGTGTTGGGACCCGAATTGTGAAACTACGTCTTCAATTCCACTTTAGATTTATTTGACAGTTTTCGTGTAAAATATATTGCATATGCAGATGACCTTGTTGTTTTGATTGAGGCAAATAGTCGTCGTGGGTTTGAGTGTACTGGGCAATTAGTTATTGATGCTCTGGTGAATCATTTAGGTGGTTTGAAGTTACAACTATCATCTACTAAATCGATGATGATGATGTTGAGGGGTCAGCTTAGTTCGGATCGCCCCCCGCTTGGCTTTAAATAATGTGCCTTTGAAGATGGCTTACGTAGTCCGTTATCTGGGAATTAAGCTGGGTCCGGATTTTAACCCGATGCCACATATTGAGTATATAGTAGACAAGACAACATCACAGTTTTATAGATTGCAACGCCTGGCAGGTTCGGGGTGGGGGCTTAGGCTTCCCGCCCTTAGGATTTTGTACAGGTGTCTGTATATAGCAGTGATGGTCTATGTAGCTGGTGTGTGGGGCGACGGACTTAAGCTCCCTCACCATGGGAAATTATTAAGTTCTCAACAAAAGATACTACTAATGATCACCCGAGCGTATAATACTATTTCCACACCTGCATTACAGGTGTTGGCTAATGAATTACCTATTGATTTGGTTTTAAATTTTGAGTATTATAAGTATTTAATTAAAATGGGTATTCTTTTTATATTAGGTGATATTAATTTTCAACAGGGTACGTCGCTTTGCGAATGTAAAAAGATATTAAATAGGGTTAAAGTTTATTTTATTGAGAAGTGGAGTTGTAGATGGCAGTCTGAAACAAGGGGTAGGTTAACATTTAATTATTTTTCCTCTATTAAGGGAAGGATGCTAATGCACTGGGTTGTGCCGGATTTCTTTTTGTGTCAAGTATTATCAGGTAATGGTGACGTTTATGATAAGTTATATTCCTTTAAATTAGTATCTACTGAATATTGTGAATGTGGCAGGTTGGATTCTTTGGCCCATTTCTTATTAGAGTGTCCACTGCTTTCGCAAGTTAGAAAAAATACAATACTTGAAAATAAAGATATGACAGTGGTATATAGTTTAGTTAATAAAAAGGAAACTTATAGGAAATTCGAAACAGTGGTTATTGAAATGATAAAAGCTAGAATTAAATTGCGTTTCAAATAATTTTACTTCTATTTTATCTTTATTGATTTTATAATATTGATTTTAATTTTAATTGTTATTCTTTTGGGGTTTTGTTTAGCTTATATTTGAGAATTAGTAGTTTTTTTTGTAGAATTTGAATTGTCCAGATTATTTTATTCTATTTTATTGTATAGTTATACAATTTTAGTGTTTATCTTTATTACTTAATTTAGAAATTTGCTGCTGGTAAGTCATATGACAGGAACAGCAGGAGTTAGGACAGTGAGGGATGGCTGTCACTATCTCCCTCCACCCTAAAGGGTGGGGTCTCATCACCCACAAGTCGTACGCACTTGTCTGGTTGCGGCGGGGGGGCCTAGTAGCCCAGGACGTCCCTGGGTGAAACTAAATGGTGCGGTGACGGCTACGGGTTCTCAACGTCAATAGACCCGTCACGGACATTGTGGAGGATGAGAAGAGTTGGGCCAAAGGTCCTCCCCCAGAGGGTACAGCTTAAAAACCAGGTTCGCACTCCTGGGCCGCCCGATAGTACAGAGGCCCGGCCCCTTCTAGCCAAATGGGGCTGGCTGCCTTATCAGCGGGCGAATAATCTCGTCGTGTGTCGTAGTGCCAGTTGGCGACTGCAGAGGGCCCTGCGGCATGCGGCGGGGGGGCTCTGCCGAGGCCACTGGAGGAAGGGCTGGAGGCCACATTAGCTTGGACCTGACAATACAGTTGAAAGGGCGGAGACATTGAACGGAAAGGCCCTGAGATAACCTTCTTAACATGATGAACGATGGCTAATAATGATAATACGTTACTAAAAGTGATGAGTGTACGATGTGAGCCCCTTACGTCAGATGATGACAGTAGTCCACAAATGGACGTTCAAGAGCTCTCAATGCAACGTAAGAGAGCTAGTCGTGGAGATAGTTTGACAAACTCCCCACCTTTGAGGCACGTAAACGCCGCTCAAAGAGCGAAATCATGACGGTGAGAGAAAAAGTCATGGGCACGTTAAGAGGCATCATCTCAGAATTACAAGCAACTTGCCTCGATCGTGAGAACAAAATCACCAAGTTTGCGACTGAAAAGGTGCTAGACCACGCAGGTGCACTCCAAAACCTGGTGGTTGAGCTCCTAGCTGATTACGAAAAATTGCAGGGCAGACTTGATAAACAAACTGAAATTATGGAAGACAGGCATCTGAAAGCCACTAGCCAAGAGAGCTATGCATCAGTAGCTGGGAAAAATGTACCAGCAAGTAGAGCCACTTTTAAGTCAGGTCCACTTAAGAATAGACCTCAGCAAATAGTGTTCATAAGGCCAGAAGATCCTAGCATCATAAAAGACAGTGATGAAATCAAAGAAACCTTCACGAGGGTAGTAAACCCCAGAAGGGACAAGATAAAGTTCCAGCAGATGCGAAAGCTCAAGAACAAAGGGCTGATGCTAGAAGTTGAAACTGAACAGGACGTCAATAAACTGTTAGGAAATAGTCAGCTCAAAGAGTGTGGACTTAAAGCACAATTAATGGACAGAAGAAACCCAAGACTAATCATCTACAACGTACCAAAAAGTGTACAAGAAAGTGATCATCAGATCTATGAATGAGGAAGTCTTCGCACAGACAAAGCTCGAGGACTTCAAGCTGGTCTTCAAAACAGGAAAACGGCGTGATGATGCGGTCAACTGGGTGGCGGAAGTCACACCATCCCTTACAGAACGGTTACTTAGGCAACAAAGACTATACATTGAGTATACCAGTTGTAAAGTTAAGGATTTCCTTGCTATCAGCACATGCTTTAAGTGCCGAGGATACGGACATGTCGCTAAGTTCTGCAAGGACGAGGTTGATACGTGTTCCCACTGTACAGAAAAAGGACATAAGTTTAATGAATGTCCAAAGAAAAAGGAATCTGCACAATGTGCAGCATGCAAACGACTTGGGAAACCATACAGCCACAGCAGGACAAGCAAACAATGTACTGCGTACAAGATGGCAAGCAAAAGGTATATCAACTCAATAGCCTTCACATAATGGTAGACACCGCCACCATAAATATCGCTCAGGTTAACGAAGGTAGAGGACAAGTTGTTCCTTCTGAACTCCGACAAGAAATTTGCAAGAGCAAAGTCGATTTACTGGCCATCCAAGAGCCATATTCCACCTTTGGAAGAATTGCAGGATACAGTTTGCAACACCGTATAATTCAAGGAAACAGGCAAGATGAGCCCCCATGGGCAGGTCTTATAGTGATAAACAGGACACTAACTATTCTGGAACTGTCGCATGTAAACTCCTCTCACTGTGTGTGTGCTCAAGTCGATCAAGGGAGCTTCAGTTTCTACATAATAACCATGTACTTCCAGTTTGGGAACACCATAGAAGAAGGTCTTGATACGCTGGATACAGTGCTAATGAAAATCTCAAGTCCAAATGTTATAGTTTGTCTTGATGGTAACGCTAAATCCCCAACTTGGGGAAGTGATAGGACAGACAGCAACGGCGAGAAGCTTCTGGCTTGAATAGCGGCCCACGGACTCACAGTTATAAATGAGCCGGGCCAGGCTAGTACTTTCTCCTCAAGTAGAGGTGAATCTAACATAGATGTAACATTAGTCAGTAGCAACATCATCCCGCACATCAAACGCTGGACTGTCCATCCTGATTGGACATCAAGTGACCATAATGCTATTAGTTTCGAGTTACACATTGGGGCACAAGCTGCACTGTCAAAGGACCTAGGTAAATTTAATACTGGGAAGGCAGACTGGAGACTCTTTAAGAAAATCTTGAGAAGCGAATTACAAAAGCAACGAATCGCAGAAATATGTAATGGCACTGATGCAGTCCTGCAATGCTACTCTGTGCAAAAAGCAATCCTTAAGGCAGCAGAGGTAGCCATCCCAATTAAAAGGGAAACAAGTAACACCCAAAGATGGTGGAACGCACGACTGGAAACACTAAAGAACAGGACATACAAAGCTAGAAGAAAGTACCAA